AAAAAAAAAAAAAAAAAAAAAAAAAGAAAAGAAATAGTCAGAGAATGGGGCAATTCCCGCTGAACGTGGAAGGTGGAAGGAAAGACAAGCGTTAGGAAATGCAGACCTGTCTGCTGTGGACCTTGAAGACCTCACTAGTGGTCAGGCTGCTTCCCGGCGTTCCAGTCCTGAAAAGCTTCTATTTTGACCCAAAGCAAAAACAAACACTACGTTAATGTCTTCCTATGTGTCCCCTTCACAAGATTTAGGTGAAATGATAGTTATTAAAAGTGCATTTCTCAGTATCACTCTCAGTATTTAGAGATTTCAGTTCCCCAGTACCCTGGCAAGGGATTTGACAAACAGCAAGAACACCGTGAACTTTGAGCTAATTTATATCATTGTTCATTTGTCTATTTCATAAATAAAAGCAAGAGAAGCAGAGCAACAAATATCTTAAGGAAAGCCTGTGTGTCAGGGGCCACGTAGGGCAGAACACATACAGGTAATAACCACATACAACTTTGCTGGACAGACCTAATGGACTGGGGTTGGGAAACGGGAGACACAATTTCAGTAGGAGGCAGCGAGAACAAAGGCGTACACACTGTGCTCTGAGGCGTGAGAGGCCTTGCGGTCAAAACACAATGACTTAGGTCAGAATTAGATTTCCACGTGGTTTTAATCCTAATAATTCTTCCAACTGCCTCCAATTGTTACAGTTGTGAGGAAAATCTAAGGGTATGTATTTTATGCATATATATATATAATGTATACACACACACACACACGGATGTTTAAGCAATCTTAAACTTTTCCTCCTTTATAGATTTGATAAATTAGAAATGCCTTTTTTACTTGAGTGCTGATCTGATGATACTTTTAAAAACACTAAGATTCCTCCGAGGTGTTTTCCGTGTATCAGTCTCGGTTTTCATGAGCGGGTTCTTGCACAGAGTAGGCATTCAAGATATACTAGTGTGAAATTGAGTAAAACGGCAACTGCCAGTGCTGCCAGCAGCTGCAGTTTGGGCCCCGGATCCAGACTCCTACATCTAGATTTGGTTGCCTGCTCTGCCACTTACTAATTGCGTGGCTTTGTCACCGAAACGCCAGGGGTTCAATCTAGGTCCTGCTGCTCACTGCACAGAAAGCCGATGACTGAGATGACAAGTAATGACAAAGAAGAAGCTTTAAACAGGTGCTGCAGCAGAGCAGATGGGAGTTCAGTCTCAAGCCCATCTCCCTGAGGGACTAAAGCTAGGGAGTCCTATAGCGGGGAAGAAATGGAACAATGTGTAAGAAAGCAGGAACTAGGAAGGGGCACAGAAGCAATTGTGATGGATGAGGAGTCTGGCGTCTCACTGTCTGGATGTAGTGATCTGGTGAGTTCTAGTTCTTTGACACCTGTTTTGAGAGGCCTGAAGGTCTCTGAGGAAGGAACTCAGATAAAACAAATATAAGGTTCAAGCTTTAATACCAGACGGTCAGTTTCTATGCTCATCCAAAAAACTATCTGTGGGACTGCTGGGTCACTGGGTCACTTTCAGCTTTAAGCAAAATTACCACAACTCTGTTTAGCTTGTTTCCCCGTGTGTATTGGAGATCATAAAAGCTCCTACCTCATAGCATGGTTGGTGAATCAAGAGGAAGAATAAAGGGCTCAGAACAGAGCATGTCAAGCAAAGCGTTCTCAATCAATATTAGCGTTATTAACCTCTTCCATAAATGGACACAGCCCTCCAGAGAATAAAGGGCTTTCTCAGATGCACACGGTGGCAGAGGCTGAAGGTCTAAAGCACAACTCTTCCAAAGACCTTCAAGGTATTGACGATTGTGTCTGGTATTCTGTGGTGCTGAACACCTAATATTTCTGGTCTGCCTCTCTTCTGGGTAAATGACAGGAATGCATTTCCCTTTTGCCAATTTTACAAAAATACAAGCACATAAGCACACTGCTAAGATTTTTTTCCCAGGGTCCTAGGAAGAAGGGGTCCACACAGGCCAGGCCTGTAATCCCAGTGCTTTGAGAGGCCTAGGTGGGAGGATTGCTTGAGCCCAGGAGTTTGAGGCCAGCCCTGGCAACATAGCAAGACCCCATTTCTATAAAAAATGTAAAAACTAGCTGGGTGTGTTGGTGTATACCTGCAGTCCTCGCTACTCAGGAGACTGAGGTGGGAGGTTATGGCTTGAACCCAGGAGTCTGAGGCTGCGGTGAGCCATGATTTTGTCACTGTACTCCAGCCCGAGTGACAGAGCAAGACCCTGTCTAATAAAGGGGGAAAGAAAAGGAGGGGCCCATATACAGGTTTCACAGGTTAGGAGCTCAGAAGCTTCAGCTTCGTCAGCTTCACAGTGAATTTCCCACTGTCCATAAACTTTGCATTGTCTAAATGCTGCTTTTGTTTGTTTGTTTGTTTTGTTTTGTTTTGTTTTTTGAGATGGAGTCTTGCTCTGTTGCCAGGCTGGAGTGCAGAGGCACAATCTCGGCTCACTGCAACCTCCGCCTCCAGGGTTCAAGTGATTCTCCTGCCTTAGCCTCCCGAGTAGCTGGGATTACAGACATGCACCACCATGCCCAGCTAATTTTTGTATTTTTAGTAGAGACGGGGTTTCACCATGTTGGCCAGGATGGTTTTGATCTCCTGACCTCGTGATTCACCTGCCTTGGCTTCTCAAAGTGCTGGGATGACAGGCGTGAGCCACCACACCTGGCCCTAAATACTTCCGTATGCATTGTTCTTACCACAAATTTGATTCCTCTTTGGCACTCAGAAAGCCTTTCTGTTCCAGGGCATTGTGGTCAGTAAAACCTCCGTGTGGCTGGAAGCTCTCCGTGTCCGTGTAGACCTGGTAGGGGGACGAGGGACTGCCACAGTGGTGCGGTGAACAGACTGGAGCAGGCTGGCTCTGTGCGTCTCCACCGCAGCAATTCCAGGTTAGTAACCCACAACGGAAGGAAGAGGAGAGGGACCCTCAGGGGCCAGAGAATGGAGTGGGAGGCCCAACTGGCCAGTCCTTCCAACTGAAAATAAACCCCAGACAGCAAGGGGTGGATGAAGAGGGACAGAATGAGCCAGGGTGACAGAACGTCTTTTCATTGCTTGGAGTGGAGGAAAATTTGTCACTGT